TGGAGCTGGTATTCTTCTCTGTCAAACTAGGAGGGAGTGATCCTTCCTGGGCGGTGCAGAGCATAATGGATTTATTGATGTTGCTGTTGACCCAGCAGTTAGATTGTACAGGACTTAATTCCTAGCACCACCTGGGGAGAAAGCTGATCAGTTGGGCTGACAGTGGCCAGTTGGGCTCTGTTTCTGTGTTGGATAGATAGAGTCATTTCATTTCTACTAGGGACTTCATTTATTTATGAATTTAATTAGGGAAAGGGTATTTTCTGACTTAAGTGAAGCTGAGAGGGGTTAAACAAAATGAGTCCCAAAAAAGCAAAATGAGAGTGCAAAGGGAGGATACTATCTGGGATGTGAGACCAAAGGGTGCAGAGGTGTGACACACTTATTCTGGACACACACACACACACACAGACACACACACACACTGACAATGCAACATCTGCAAACGCTAATGTGAGCTCAGGGAAATGAGAGACAGAGAAAGGTGAGTCCTGTTCTGAAACCCAGGCCAGCTGGTTTAGCAGGCTGGCATGTCACATAGTGATTCAAAGAAGGGCAGGAGAGAGAATAAACATCAGCGTCACGAGCCTACAAGTGCTCACTGATGCTGATGGAGTAAGACACTTTCAGCGAGGGTAATACTGCTCTAAATGTGATCCTTCCACACTTCCCACTTTATACATTTTTGTTCCAACGGCCCGCCAATAATGGCAGTTGACCTGGATGTCAGAGGACATAGTTGGTAGGTCTGTGACAGCAAGCAGGAGACAGAGGGATAGATCCTGCCAGACTTACTCATGCTGAGCTGCACCATGCTCTATGAGTCACACTGTTTTCAGTGGGACGATCAGCCAAGTAAGGTACTATCCAATGTGCAGTAAAACTGGAATGACCAGGGCTAGGATGCTAGGGAAACAGGCTCCCTCCCTACGTGGGAACCTCTGTCTTCAGCAGGCAGGTGCTGCTGTAGCCCCTGCCCCAGCCAGGCAGCTCCATGTGCGGAGCCCTGAGCCCCTGTCTGGGTGAGGCTCATTAAACAGCTGCAGGGCCGTGCTACCATGTAGCTTAGAGGGAACCTTGGCAGGTGTAGCTAACTGAGCCACCGCTCCATGCTGCAGAGGCCGTTAGCGTGAGAACACGAGCAGCACTGGGGACAAATTCTTGCTGCAGGAGAGGCTGACAATGCCCAGCATGGTGTGTTAAGAATGTTCAGGCAGGCTCTCTCACGGCCAGCACCCCAGCAGCATGAAGCCAGCAGCCTTATCTTGCTGGCCTCAGTCGTTAGGGTTGGAAGCCATGGGAGAGGAAGGCAACTGTTTCTTGGGGCAGGAGGTAGGTGGGCTCAGTCTCACTCTCTCTTCCTTTTTAGTCAAGTACTCCCCTGGATTCTCCCTAAGATGCCGTCCTGGAGCAAATCATCCTTCTGAGTGAGCCTGGCTGAGCTTAGCCCCCTGCAAAACCTGCTCGGTGCCACTCCTGGGGCCACCATTCTGCTTCCCTGGCATCTCCAAGCCCTGCTACTAGATATTCTCAGCACAACTGCCTGTGTCTTCTGCGGGCTTTGGGGAGAGGGGGAGGAAGCAGAATGATCTTTGCCTCCCAATCAGAGAGACAGGCAGCTCATCCCATGGTGAATCTTGGGAAGTTGCTCCATGACCGTCATAGCTGCCACCCATCAAGAAACATTCTTCTGCCCCACCTGAGCTCCTTTGGACTAGCTGATGGACCCTGTCACTCCCCTCGCCTCATCACATTTCACCCGCTCCAGTGCAGTGGGGGAGAGGTGCTCCATGGCTTGCCAGCATCAGATGCCGGCTGCTGCCTTAATGGAAACAATCCTCTTTTCTCTTTCTCCCTGGCCTGGTCCTTTTCTCCTGGCCCCAGACTCCAATCTAAATGTTCCAAGGGGCATCCTTTTTTCTTCATATTGAAAAAACACACACATCTTTTTGAGCAGACTATTTGACTGCAGGACTGTTTGACTTGGAGTCTCTCCTGTGTCCTTGTTATCTTCCCCTGCCCTGCTGCAGGGGATTCTCATGCTTCACTTCAGGAGCCCACCCATTCTGTTTCTGTGCTACGTTACATTTCTAGGCGTAATCCCCCCTGCTCAGTGACATGGAGCTGATGTTAAGGAATGGGCTGGGTGTCCATCGCTCCGGAGAGATTCTCGGGTGAAGTTTTAGACAGAGGAGAGAGATTCTGCATTTATAATTTGATTTCCCCATGAGAAAAGAGAGAGAGAGAGAGAAAAAGAGAGAGAGAGAGAGAGCAAAGCTGCGAGTCAGATCCCTTTCCCACAGCAAGGTTTGTGTAGAATGCTTTCCCTCACCTCTGAGACAGACAAATACATTTTGTTCCTCACACTGAGAAGACTCTCCAGTGGGAGCAACCTGGTTGTTTTAAACATGAAGGAGAAATAGGGTCTAAATATTTCTATCTAGTGTCAGTAGAGGAAACACAGAGGATGAAATATAGTGCTGGTTAGAAGGCTCATGAATTTCTTTATGTGGGATTGCTAGGCTGACAGTGAGGGATTCCTTCCCCTTAGTGGCAAAGAAAGGGGGACCTTTTGGAAGAATAGCTGAAATAGTCTGAACTGGACAGATCTCTACCACAAGTGGCTTCTCTTACCACCTGACTCTCTCAACCTCACCAGAGAGGGCAGGGCACCAGGGCTATGTCTACACAGCAGTGTTATTTCAGAATAACTGATGTTATTCCAAAATAACATGGTCCATGTCTACACAGCAGGCAGTTATTTCGACATAATGTCAAAATGTCGTCAAGCTGGAGGACTTCTTACCCCGATTCCTGTAACCCTCATTTTATGAGGAGTAAGGGAAGTTGGAGGAAGAGTGCTCTAACTCGGACTTCCTGCTTTGTAGACAGCGCCAAAAGCCAAAATAGGCTATTTATACTTAAGCTACGCAATTGATGCAGCTCAAGTTGCATGACTTATTTCGGCTTTAGCCCTGCTGTGTAGACATGCCCCAGGTAACTGGTGAAGGAATGGTCTCATTTCTTCCTGGTATCCGGTTTAATATCATAAGGCTGGAAGTAAATAAAAAAGTACTTTGTTCCTTGAGAATAAGTTAACCTAAAACAAATCTACTCTAGACTTCCTGCCATTCTCATCTCATTTAGTGTCTCTTGGGTGGTGAAAAAAAATCTACAGTACTATGGAGGCAGGAGAAAGAAAGGTGGGAAATATCTGTCTAAAACTGAATGACAAATTCTGTCTTGTGAAAAACTCTCTACAAAGCCCTCCCAGATGGAACTGTCTCCAAATTTAATGCATTCACTTGCCATGCTGTCAGAGAAAGGGCAATCAAACCCATTCTTGGGATGGCCAAATTCCATTTTTAATTATAATCCATGGACCAGGTATAAATTTAGGCCTCCATACCCACCTATGTCCCCAGCAAATCCCCCATTCACAGCAATGGCAGGTTTACACAAAGGTCAAGTACACAGTATGGCCCCTCTATATCTCTTTTGGTTATTATCATTTTTCATTTGCTCAGTACTCAATGGAGTCAGTATCATTTAATGGGAAAATTGTCCCCATTGTTTCTTCCTTTTCCTTGTCTTCCTTTCCCATCCTCTTATCTCTGTGTCTCCTCTGCATGTCCTTCCCTGCTGTAACTCCAATTCCCAAACTTCCCACGGGTTTTAACTCTCACCTTCTTCCCTGCTCTGGCCTCTTAAAAAGATCAGCAGTGACAGCTAATGTTGACATTTTAACGTGTCATTATTAGGCTTTAGGTTGAACACTCCAAGGTGTATAATGGAGTGAGGGAGTTGGCCTATCTAAATGACCATTTCAGGCTCCCTGCAGGTATAGGCAGATGACACTGCATTAATTACACTGGGGTCTCATTTGGAAGAGTTTTTTTTTTAACAATCACTGGGGCCAGAAACTTGCTTCTTTTTTTTCTTTCAAAATGAAAGCTGAGATCTTGCTGAACCTGAGTACAATAGAAAGGCTACACCATAGGTCAACTGGGGAGGTATCTAACAGTAACTGGGGATGTGAATAGGTATGTGGTTACATGGTAAGCACCACCCTTACTGGGTAATGTGTGCCAGGTAATGGTTAACTGGTGCTCAGGAGCTGGCAGCCCAGCATGGGCTGGGAGCTGGGAGCCCCACACGGGGCCAGAAGTGTCAGACCCACATGGGCTGGCAGATGGAAGCAGCCGTTCCGTAGGGTGAGAGTAGGAGCCCTGTGGGCTGGGTACTGCTCCAGCCAGGCAGGAATTGTCCCCTGCCTGGGATTCCACTTAGTTGCTTAATCAGTTAAACCTAACGTTTAACCGGTTAACTGATTAAAAGGGACTTTACATCCCTAACAGCAGCACCCATAGCTGGTACCTAACAAGCCTTAACTGCCTGCTAAAGGCAGCTCCCAAATTTATTCCAGGAGTGGAGATAGGAGATCTTGGGGGGGAGGGAGAGAAGTGCTATAATCTGGTCTGTTTTAAAATGTCTCTATAGTTGGGGAGCTGCTGAAAATCTGCTTCCTTTGTGGGGCTGCAG